TTCACTGGCTGTGTGACCTTGCGCGAGACATTTAATCTCTGTGAGTCTCTCTTTCCTCATTTGTAAAATGGGAAAATAACAGTGACTACACATCACAAGAACAGTTGGGAGGATGAAGGAGATGATGAATGTACAGCGCTTAAAAAACAGTTGATCGATGTTGGTAAGAATTCGATAAATGGGAGTTATTATCCTCCAAAGGGGCGATCCCTTCAACTCATTTCATTCCTTCTACCTACTTCTGACAAAATGCCAGTCTTTTCGTAGAGGCCACTTATTCCTCCCTCCCTCCCTTGCTTCCTTTTAATGGAAGAGGTCCTCATGGAACTCAACTCTACTGCTCTTATGGATGGTTTGTTGCCTTGCTCAATAGTGATTGTTTCTCTATAGGATGCTCCTTGTCTTGTATCTTATCATCTCAAGTACAGAACCAAAAAGTCCTCTGTGTGTGAGAGCCACCGGAGCCAGAAACAGCTCTCTAAATCAGCCCACATCTTTAGAGAACTGTGCCTGCCAACCCCATGACTTTCTGTGGCTCCTGCCTGTGGCTTTCCTTCTCTCCACTCCTCCAACTCTGCCTCTTCATTTTCATACGGCTTGAAGCCGACTGCCTTTTCTAGGCTTAGGGGCTTCCTTCAGCCCTGTAAATCCCATATCCTTTGAAGTTAAAAGCAGGGGCTCCTGGTGGTCTGTTACTCAGTTTGTTTTTTTTTTTCTGATTCCTCCTACCCAGGACAGATTTGATTTCTGATCAGAGACTCAAAAGACTTTCCACCAAACTGCATGACTGACTTGGGAGCCTTAGGTCAGCCACGAACTCCTGTACTGAATTGTTTATTTTTTATTTTTTTTCTCTATGCCCTCTAGTTGAAAAGGGAGCTTACAAAAATCTTTTTCTTTTCCTTTGAGGATTGAAAAATTCATCAAATTTCTGCTAGACCAGTTTGTACTCCGGCTGCTCCTCTTGACTGAGCGAGAAACTGTTGTAAACATCTAAAGCCTCAGGCCCAGCAAGCCAGGAATAAAGCTTTTTTCTGTCTTTTCTGTCAATGCCTAGCAGATGTGGAACAAAACAGTGCTTGGGCCATTTCCCATCTTATTCATGATGGCAGGATTCCACAGTTCAGGTGGGGCTTTCCCGTGTTCTGCCCCATATGGTCCCATTCAAGCCCTGCTTCTCCCGTGTGGCATCAGACAGGCCCAGGGTCAAGTCCTGACTCTGCTGTTTCTTCCGCGAGTGCCCCTGGACAGGTCATTTCCTTTCCTCTATGCCTCAGTTTCCTCATTTGCAAAATGGGAATGACTACTTACCTTGCAGGCTTGGCTGTGAGGATTAAGCAAGATGATGAAGGCACAAAATGGGTTCTTAATCAATGGTGGCTGCTGTTACTGCCACTGTGGTATTTGGAGATTTCGCTCTCCTCTCCCCTCCTCTCCCACCTATGGCCTGTATCCTGATTCCAGTCTTCAAGGGCTGACCTTTTTCATGACTGTGTAGCAGTCTCCACAGCCTGATGGCTAGATTCTTGGGGACATGAACTGTGTCCTATACTTTCCCTATAGTCTTGCTGCGCTTAGAGTAGGCAATGTATAAATACTTGTTGAATTCACTTGAATAGGTATTTCTCATCCAAAGGCAGTCTGGCTCTTTTACGAAGGTTCTATGCAAAGGGAGGCTTTATTAAGAATGAGGTCCTACCCTACTAAACCATAAACTGTGGCCTCTGTCTAGGCCCCAGACAGCCTCCATGGCTTGCGTCAATCACTCTCAAAGCCCAGCTCCCTCACACGGTTATTAGTTGGCAAGACTTTGCCCACTCTTTGTGAATTCCTGGGGAATACAACAGTGAGCTGGGGAGCTCTGTTCTTTGGGAAGATGAGTGGGTGCTGGGGGATAGGATCCAGGGCCAGGGGGACACTCTGAAGAACACCTACCTGGCCTCACAGACCGCACCACCACAGGCCGCTCACTGCCAGCCACGAAGCCAAAGCCATATATAGGGTCTCGGTGAATGGTCACTTGTCGCAGTGTCTCTGCTGGCAGCTGCTCACATTCCATATCATTTGCGCTCTCTTCCTGCATCACATGACTGAGGGAAGGGGAAGATGGGAGCAAAACAAGACGCAAAGGCGACTAAGCCTCAGAGCCAGCTGGGAGGGACACTGGTTAGGGTGCTGGCCATGGCACCTGAGAGTTCACACGTTTAGCTTCCTGTGTCCTCTGGAACCAGCAGAGGCAATGGCGGCCTCATATCTCAGGCTGAAGAAAGATACGTCTAGAATGGAAAGGCCACTGTCTACAGGGCCAGAGCCCACAGAAAAAAGCTGTTGCCAAGAACTTGACATTAGATTCAGCCCTTTCCTCCAACGTATGGGGACTCTCTAGAAGGAGCGTAAATGCAAATATGTTATTATGAAAGTTAACCAGCATTGCCCACTAAGTTGGCTAGTAACTCCCTAAGGGAAACCAAAACCTTGAGGAAGGGACCACCAAACAGGCAAGTAAGTGGGGAAGGGAGGCAAAGTCATTTCAGAATACACCTTCATGAAGTCCTTGTGCAATTATAAACTTTAATATCCCTTAGACCATATATAAGAATAAACTATTTAGATGGCATACACAAACAAATGAGCTAATGCTGAGGACCATCACTGTACACAATTGTACGTAATGCCAACTTATTTCAGTTAATGGGACAACTGGAAAATGGCTCCTATGGGCAAGCAGGGGAGCTGTGTATTGTGGCTACCAGAGGACCTGAACCCCAATGAGCCGGGAGAAGAAAAATCGCCGCCCCAATACCTGTGAGAGACTGCAGATGGCTCTCCCGATGCCCACAAATGAAGTCGTTGAAGTTTAGGAAAATTTCACAAGGACTTCAGGAAGGTTCTACAGCAAGGGCCAGGGTGAGGTGGACTGCAAGCAAAGATGGGTCTGAGCACAGTCTTCAAGTGAAGAGCCCTGAGGGGTGAGGGCATGGGGACCATGGAGCTTGTGAGAGGGCACTGGGTGCCAGGTGCAGGGAAGGAGGTAAAAAGGGGAAGGATGGCCAACACGCAGGGCAGGTGGAGGTGGAATAGAAGACAACAGAGTCAAGAGACTCAAAACTTTACCTCCCTGCCTAGGCACCGCTCAGCCCCCAGGCTTTCTGGTCTAACAAATGGGACTGAGTTCCCTAGTCCCACTGTGTGTATGCTCAAAAGTTCAGATTCCCGGCAGGGCCTTCTGAACAAGATACAGAAGGGCAAGAGACAATTAATCAAACTAGTATAAGGTTTGTAAAAGAAGTGGGAGGTTCTGACACCATGAGGGGGATTGTTGGCAGGTTAGGAATACCAAATTCCTCAGTTGCAAATGGTTTCAAGTGAGTTGGTTGTTTATCAGGACACAAATTCAATAATGAGACTTGAGGACTATTTATCAGGGGGTGGGAGATTTAGAGTAATTGCACAAAAGGAAAATTCACAGTCTTGGGACCTTTGTCTCTCTCATAGAAGAACTCAGGAAGGAAGACAGACCATGGCTTACTTAAGTCCAGTCACACCAACACTGGCTGCACCCAAGCTGGCTTGGGATGTGTCTGTCGGGGTACCCCTTACGGAGGCAGAAGGGGCTGGTCAGGATGAGGTCAGGCCCCCTGAAGGTAAATTCAGAAACTGGCTCCTTCCCTCTCCTGCTGGTAAGACAAGTGGTCATTTTTCAATGGAAAGTCATTCAGAAGCTGGAACATGGCTGGCGTGTATCCTAGATAGGCATCCCTGAAGGACAGGGCCTTGATGAGGGTGGCCTCAGGCTGGTACCTCTCTCATTTCTGCTCCTGGTGGCAGGCAGGAGCTCGGCCTTGAAGGGAGCCAGAGAACATCTTTCTGCGGCTATCATCTTGCCTCACCCCCGGGGCTGCTTCCGAAATGAGCCCTTTGCTTCCTGTCTCCAATCTCATTGGCACTGAATGAGCTTCTTCTTGGGGGTGACACCGGCTCATTTCTGACATGAACAACAGCTAGGACAGGCCAGAGGATGAGAGCCTGTGGGGCTGTGCAGCCTGTGGGGTGGGGAGCAGGGACACTTGCCAGAAAGATCCAGGCACAAGTGGAAGTGCTCGGTACACTGTCCTGAGCTCAGGGCCCCCTGGCCACTGCAGCCTCAGTTTTGCTGCCTTTTTCTTTTTCTGAATCTGGGCATAATTTAGTCTCCCATTGGGCCAGAGGCACAGCCACTAATGATGCAGATAAACACTCCTGGAACCAGAGGAACCAATAAGCTAAGAGCCTTTTGTGACACAAGTGTTTTTGCTTTACTGTTTTGACTCATGTGAATCCATCAACAAGTATTTATTGAGTGCCTACTCAGAGCTTCGAGGGACACAGGAGTTACAGGTCTCTTCTGCCCTCAAAGAGCTTCCAATCTAGCGTGGGGAGGAAAGAGAGATGAACTCTGAACAATTAGAGTGGTAACTGAGAATACCATAGAAAGTCCATAATTAAGGTCTAACTTGTGTGTTCAGAGAACGGGGTAGAGAAGCCACAGAGAGCCCCATGGAGGAGGCAGGAAGTGTGCTGGATGGCCAGGAAAGGGCAGTGATGGGAAGGGAGACAAGATGCTGAGCTCTGTCCACAGGCGCCTCCATGTTTCCCCAAGGAACCCAACGGCTTCTCCTACAGCCGCAGAAGTGTCTCTGGGTATGTCTAAAACACATTCGTCCCCGGCCTGTCCCTAACTGAGCTGAGCTAACTGTCCCTAACTAGATCCTCCCCTGAATCTGCAAGCAGCCCTTTCCTCACCTGCGCCTTCCCAAGTGTCTCTGGTCAGGGAAGACACACCTCCGTTAACAGCCCAGAAGGCCATTTTACAATGCAAATGGAAGTTGTCCCTTCCCTCCTGGGGTTTGCATCTTTCAGTGACTAGAGCTCAGTCTCTCTGAAATTTGCTAAGTGCCTGGAGACGTGGGAGTGACAATGCAGGCAACCAGTGACAGAAGAGGGGAGCTCAGCTGTCCACGGAGCACGTGACTTCCCTCCTGGGGGGAAAAAGGCAATTTACCTTTGAAAGATGTTTGGGTTTTGGTCCCTCGAACAGGGCAACCCTGGGCAAAATGACGAAGCAGCCAGAGCTTGTGGCCCTCCCCCGCCCCAGCTTTGTTTCTGGGACCTGCTATGTTCTGTTGTTTGCCCCTGCACATGCAATGCCTTTATTCTGATCCCTTTGTGCCCAAGGCCTCTAAACGTGTCCCTGCACCCCACTCCAGTGACCTGGGTAAAAGCCTCGCCTTTCTCTTCTGCCTAACAATAACGACACTTTATAGTCAAGTGGTTCTTTTCATTTTTACACCCATTACCTCATCTGAGAAAAGGTGCTTTCACATCCATTATCTCCTCCCAGTCTCTAACTATCCTGCCAAATAGGCTTGGTGACTGCTCCTCCTCCTTCCCAGCCTCCAGGCTAAGTGACCCATGGAGGCTAAGCACATTAGCAGCCCAGCTGGAACCAAATCTCTCGGAGGGGGCCCACAATCCTGGCACCCCCACCCACAGCCACTCAGGGTTCTGGACCCTCTCCCTGTTCAGTCTTCACCACAGGGCTGGCCCAAGCCCGTGGCCAGCAGCACCCCACGTCCTGGCTGAGTCTGGAAGGCCCGCCCATGTCCTAATTAACATGTCTCTGATCCTGTTCACTCAGCGTTGCTGGGAGAATGAAATGAGATAATGGCTACAGAAGCACTTTGGAAGGTTAAACGCATCATGCAGATGTAGAGGTGGTGATATTACTGGTAGCCTCTTTCGGGGTGGCCGGAGGAGCAAGGGGAAGGGAGCTGCAGATAAACTTCACCGGCTTCACACCAAACCCAGGCCCTTCCCCCAGCAACTTCTTGCCGGCAAGAGGCCACCCCACGATGGACTCTGTCCCCTCATTTCCCAGGCAGCTCTTTTCCTGGTCCAACTATCAGCTGACTTGGCTCTCTGTGGACGCCCTGACACCAGTTCCTCTGTGGGCTAAACAGATCCCTCCTGCCATCCAGAGAGAGACTGGTATCTGGAGTTCCTACTGTCAACTGTTGCTAGGCAGGACGTGGCTAAAGGACAAGAGAACTGAGAAGATGGATTGATTCTGAGCTAATGCTCTTTCCCTGACACTTCTGGGCAGGAAGATAGAAATGTAACAGCTAGATTCCCAGGCATTAGCTTTTAGTTCTCCATCCCTCCTTGCCTTTAGCTCCCTTTTCTTTATGTTTGGTTGGCTCCTTGGGGAGTCTTGTCCCTCCTCTCACAACTGGCAGGATTAGGAGCCTTGTGCGGCCAATTAGCTGTCTGATTCCAATCACAGGAGCCTGACTCTCCCAGACGCTCCAGAGATCCAGCATGGCAGCTGGGCCCCCAGGAGATGCCATCTATTCCTGGTGTTGGGGATGGGAGCCCCATCCCTGAGGCTCTGAAGCAGCTGCTCTGGGAGTCCTCTTGTAAGGAGCTTGGACACAAACTCTTCTTGTAAAGGAGCCCTTGCTTTGGCTAGCTGCTTCTTACTCCAGCAATGCTGCTCAAATTCGAATGTGCATACGAATCACCTAGGGGCATTGCTAGAATGATTCTGATGCAGTAGGTCTGGAGTAGGGTCTGAGATTCTAGCAAATTCCAGGGTGGTGCCCATGCTGTCGGTCCGCAGACCACACTTGGAGAAACAAGGATCTTAAAGATCACTATTCTCAGACAATGGGAAGGCCACAATCAGGAGGGAGGACTGAGGTGCTTTTATTCCATTGGGTTATGTCATTGAAGGCCCCAGTTAGAATACAAATGCTTTCTTGGAAAAAGGACACATAAAGTCATGCCAACAAAGGACTCACTGGCTGAATCCAATTTATCCCAGAAGAAAATAGGGAAGGCTCTAAATGGATATGAAGTAAGACAAGTAAGGTTGCATTAGGGAAAAGGAGAGAAAGATCTGGATAGATTAGGCACTACTTAGCCCTACTGAAGAGTTTGGTCAGCAGAAGGACAGCCTGAGTACGCGAGACATCTGGGACTAAGGCGAGGAACACGAAGAAAGAGCGGACAGTGCAGAAAACAACAGCCGCCATTTACTGAGGACTCACTATGCACCAGGCACTCTCCAACAACCTCTAAGGAGGCAGTATTACTGCCACTTTACAGACAAGGAAACTGAGATTTAGGAGGAGAGATTAAGCAACTTGTTCCAGGACATATCCCTGTACACACTGTGGTGGGACCATAATGTTAACCCACGTCTGTGGGACTCCAGGGCTAATCTTCCTACATCGTTTCTTTTCTTTTCTTTTTTTAAGTTTATTTATTTATTTTGAGAGAGAGAGAGAGAGCATGCACATACATGTGGGTAAGGGTCAGAGAGACAGGGAGAGAGAGAATCCCAAACAGGGATGTGGGATATGACACGGGGGCTCAAACCCATGAACCTTGAGTTCATGACCTGAGCCGAAATCAACAGTCTGACGCTCAACCTACTGACCCACCCAGGTGCCCCTCCTACACCATTTCTGCCAAGAACCTGTGGACTGAGCAGATGCCCAGCAGGCAACGAGGAGACGGGGTGGGAGGCTTCAGCAGACTGCTTCTATGCAAGTGAATGGAGATGCGTCCCTGTGTTGTCTTGTCAAAGCAGCCTCCCTTGAGTCACCTCATCAGAGGGGACACATTGTGAGACCCAGTCCTCAGAACTGACTTCCCATACACCTCTGAGTCCACCCTCCCCTAAGGGAGACTCAGCTCATAAGGCCCCACATGCCTGTTAATTTCAGTCATCACCAGAAAGATGTCCACTCACCTCTGGTAACCCCTCAGAACCCAGACTCTCCTCCCCACAGTGGTCTATTTGTACACTAATGCCACTCTTGTCCCTTCCAACCCTTCCATTTTGCCCTCTGGAGCACAGCAAATTCTCCGATGTTGACAATTTCTTCTCTGAAAGTATCCTTCACCTCCTCTCCCAATGAAGGTCTGATTTATTCCTTGAGTACATCACTTGCCCACCAGCCCTCTCAAATGGAAGTTGGGTTTTTTTTTCATGCTCAAAACTCAAGACCTTCAAGACCTGCACGTGGGGTAGGTGTTCTCTGTGCTTGCCAATGCCACCTTCGAGCCACTACTCCTCTTTCCTTTTGCAAAAAATCCTGCTCCTTTGAGGAACACGCCTGCCACCCACCCCTACCACCCTTTCTGTCCCGCCATTGCTATCTACAACTTCCTGAGTAGTCCCCCCACATTCACTGAGGACTTCGGTTCCTGGTCACATGTGATCTTCCCATCTACTCCAATTCTTATTTTATTATGGTAAGATATACATAACATGAAATTGACCATTTTAATCATTTTTAAGCATACAGTTCAGTGGCATCAATTTTATCACATTGTTGTGCAACTATCCCCACCATCTATCTCCAGAACTTTCTCATCATGCCAGAGTGAAACTCTGGACCCAGTAAACACCAACTCCCCATTCCCCTCTCCCCGTCAGAACCTAGCAACTACCATTTTACTTTCCATATCTATGGATTTGCCTGTTCTAGGAAGCCATGTAAGTGGACTCCTACAACATTTGGCCCTTTCTAATTGGCTTATCTCACCTAGCATAATGTCTTCAAAGTTCATCTGTATGAGAGCATGGGTTGGAATTCTCTTCTTTTTAAAGTTTAAATAATACTCCATGTGTATGTGTGTGGTACATCTTATTTATATGTCAATGGACAGTTGGGTTGTTTCCACCTTTTGGCTATTATGAATAAAGCTGCCAGTGAGCATGAGTGCATAGTTATCTGTTTGAGTCCTTGCCTTCCTGTCTTTTGGGTATATACCTACAAGTGGAATTGCTGGGTCATATAGTAATTCTATGTTGAATTTTTTTAAAGGAATTGCTCTATCATTTTCTACAGTGACTGCACCATTTTACATTCTTTTTTAAAAGATTTTTTAATGTTTATTTTTGAAGACACACACACACACACACAGAGAGAGAGAGAGAGAGAGAGAGAGAGAGAGAGAGACAGAGAGACAGAGAGAGAGAGAGAGAGAGAGAGCAGGGGAGGAGAGAATCCCAAGCAGGCTCCAAGCTGCCAGTGCACAGCCCAACGTGGGGCTTGAACTCACAAACCATGAAGTCATGACCTGAGCCAAGATCAAGAGTCAGATGCCTGAGCCACCCAGGTGCTTTGCACCATTTTACATTCTTAACCACAATGCAAAATCTGATTTCCCCACATCCCTGTCAACGCTTGTTACTATTTTCTGTTTTTCTTTTTTGATAACCACCATCCAAATGGCTGTGCCCACTGCATACTCTTGATATCATTGTTAGTGAATTGAACATGCACATGGCTATGGGGAGGCCTTCAGCAACTGCTTCACCCACTTCACTCGGTTACTCGCTCTATCGTCACACCTAGACTTTGGGTGGTCATCAGATACTGCACCACCTCCCCAGTCTCCTTCGCCAACCTGCCATTTGCTCCTATCCCATTTATCCTGGCAGTTTACCTCCCATGGGACTCCCACTGCAGAAATAACTAGAAGCGTCATGATCACTTATTCACTTCCCACTTGGGATTCCCTTTTCCTAGAAATCTCTTCTTCCATTCTTTGTGTTCCATTCAGGTCTCAGCTTAAATGTCACCTCCTCAGAGATGCCTTTCTGAAACCTTTCTCCTATTTACTTTCTTTTTTTTCCTTAAGTTTCTTTATTTATTTTGAGAGAGACAGAGACAGCAAGAGTCGGGGAGGGGCAGAGAGAGAGGGAGACAGAGAATCCCAAGCCAGCTCTGTACTGTCAGCATGGAGCCTGACACGCTGCTTGAACCCATGAACCCTCGAGATCATGACCTGAGCTTAACTGACTAAGCCACCCAGGCACCCCTCCCGTATTTACTTTCTTACTGTCCTTGAAGCTCCCTCTTATCTTTGTTTCCCTTCATGTCCAAATTAGAGCTCCTGGTCTACCATTATGACCATTCTCTTGCACCTGCCTTTAACTCCCTTATTTCCTTGTCCTTTGCTATTCTTGCCATGCAAAACCTCATTCCTCAATGACCTCAACCATATGCATTCTCTGTGCCTGCATCCAAGTACCTGAAGGCAGTTGGAGAAAAAAACACATGGTGGAGTCCAAGGCTTTCACTTTATATTCACGGTCTCAAACCTGGTGTGGGCCCACAGTGCTGTCTGGCCACCACTTTCTCACTCTCTAAGGTGATTATTTCATAATTCCTCCTCTTTACTCAATCTTCTGCATCTCTCCATTGGTCCCAACATGCCTCGGCTGATGACCTTGTCCGTACGTGATTGAGGAAACACAAACCATCAAGTGAGAGCTCCTTCCCTCATCTTACCATCACTGAGTCTATACTCCACCCCGCCTACACCTGTACCCCGGATTCCTTTTCTCCTCCAATTAAAATGGAGTATGTTTCTTTTCTTCTACTAATGGCACATCTCTTCATTTATGCTCTGGTACCATCCCCTCTCATCTTCTCAAGGATTTTGCTCCTTTGGGCATTCAATCTCTTCCGTAACTCATCGATCTCTCCGCCTCTCTAGAATCATGCTAGCATGCTGATGGAAATAGCCCATCCTTAAGAGAAAAAACTGAAACCACCCCCCTCCATGCCACAGTCCTCTTACACTGTCCCTTTGTCCTGCTCCCCATCACAGAAAAACTGCTCAAGAGTTTTCCACACATATTGTCTCCACTTTGACATCTTCCCCTTGCTCCTCAATCCATTATAATCTGGCTTCCACATCCATCACTCCATAGAGTTGCTCTTGTTAGGGTCATCAATGGCCTTCAAGGTCAACTCTCAGTTTTTATCTTACTCAACCTCTCACTGGCTTTGGACAGAGTTGGCCATTCCCTTGAAGTACTCTCTCTTGACTTCTGTGATGGTCTCCTGAGTCTCCAACAACCTCTCTGCCCACTTTTTTTTCTTCGTCTCTTTGGTGGGCTTCTCCTCTGCTACTGAATCACTAGATATTGCCATTCTTCCCAACTCAGTCTCAGGCCTTCCCTTCTCTGCTCTCTTTCCAGGTGGTCTCCTCAGTCCCCTGGCTTTTTAAAAAAATTTTTTTAATCTTTATTTTTTTTTGAGAGAGAGAGAGAGACAGAGTACAAGCGGTAGAGGGGCAGAGAGAGAGGGAGACACAGAATCTGAAGCAGGCTCCAGGCTCCAAGCTGTCAGCACAGAGCCCAATGTGGGGCCTGAACTCATGAACTGCGAGATCATGACCTGAACCGAAGTCAGATGCTTAACTGACTGAGCCACACAGGTGCCCCTCCTCAGTCCCCTGGCTTTAAATACAACCTGTATGCACAGGATCCCAAATTTGTATTCTACTCACACCTCTTCTGTGAGCTCCCAAATTCTTATATTCCAACGATCTGTTCTGTCATCTCTGCTTTTACGTCTCACAGAGTTCTCAAACTTAACATGTCCAAAACTGAACTCAGTCTAGGCCCAGTCTAGGCCTCTCTCAGCTTTCCTCATCTCAGTACATGGTACCATCATCTCTTTAATAACTCAAGCCAGAAACCTTGGAGTCATTCTTGAGTCCTGTCCCTCCCTTTCCACCACCACTCCCCCACCCCCACCCCCAACAGCAAATCCCTTGGTAAGTCTTGGTTGCTGTTCCTTCTCAATCTGACCAACACTCTCCATCTCCATGGCTATCACCCTGCTCAAGTGACTATCATCCGTCCCCTGGATTGCTGCAGACGCCTCCGTCCTGGTCTCCCTGAGGCCACGGTTGCCCCCACTTCAGTCTGGTCTGTATAGATAATGCAAAGTCCAAATCAGATCCTGCTGCTCTCCTCCTGCTCAAAACCCTGCACATGTCTCCCACTACAAGTGAATAACATCCAAATTCTTCCTTCATGGCCTGCGAGAGACCCTGTGTGATCTCCTCCTGTCCTCCTTGCCAAACCCTTCTTAAGCTATTCTTACTCTTGCCTGGTACAATCTGGCCCCACTGGTGTTTTTTTCCATTTCTGAACACATCAAGTTCTCTACCACCTCAAGGCCCTCCCACTTGGCATTCCTTTTTCGCCTGAAAAATTCTTTTCCGCCTGAAAAATTCTTTTCCCATTCTCCACATGGTTGATCTTTCACCCTTCAGGTCCCCACTTAAGTATCACCTCCTCACAGAGGCCAGAGGCCTTCCCTGAGAACTCTGCCTTGGTTATCCCCATCACTACAGCCTGTTTATTTCCCTCAGGAGTCTCATCATGATATATATTCATTTATGTGATTATTTGTCTAGAAACTCCATAAGAGTATTGACTGTGTCCCTTTTGTTCAACATGGCGTTTCTACCA